CCAAGGATGAAATATGACATCTCTAACTTCATACTCTTTTCTCATATTATTTATTAGGAAAAAAACTATACTTTCCGATATTTTCATGATCACCAAGTATTGAAACAATATTCCCACTTCTTAATTAAATACACAAACTTCTCCTTTCATTGTTGGAACAGCAAGGTATTGACCAAGAATCAGAAATGTAACTTTTATCCAAAAATTTTTTTTGAGAAATCAACAATGATGATTTGTTAAAGACTCGACAATATCTGTTGATTGATTACCTTATTTAAATTTTCACTTACTTTTTATGTTGAAATACTCTGACTGTTTTCAATCAAAATTTTCCTTCTCTTCTAGTTGGATATATCAACTTGTGTAAAATACACACATTATCTAATAATTTTAAATACAAAAATTCATAAACCAATAATGTTATTTCTATTAATGCATATATATACATATATACCTATCCTTTCATGTTCAGATTTTTTTTAACATCTCAACACCTTAGTTATAAATATGAATGTCAAGGAGTAATAATCTTTGATGGTGATTTTTATTTATTCGCCCTTTTCACTCTATTATATATAATCTTCTTCTTCCTCGCCATCACCATACCATCTTGGCCATTCATCTCATAATCTGTTTCCATCAATGATTCTACTGGATGTATGAATTTCCCACAATCACAATATTGCGAATATAATTTGTAAAAACTAAATCAAATGAACAAAAATTTTATATGGAAAACTTAAATAATAAAAATAATAAATTTACCTGGCCTGTTTCAAAATCATACAATTTAATTGTATCATTTATAGTAGCAAAGAAATATTTATTACCAGTATTTGGAAGAAATGAAATAGTGAATGCCGTATCATTATCATCATCATCAATGCATTCTTTTTCTTTTGGTGATCTAAAAAAAATTTTTAATATAATCAATTAGTAATGATAAATTAACTTAATAATTGATTGATTGGTGGCTACTTACATCAAAACATCTTCCATCTTCCATTAACAAAAATTTCCATCTTGTCTCGAACTTATGTAATAATTTTCTCCTTGAAATGTAACACTTTTAATTGATAATACTCCTTCAATATGGCCTTCCTGTTATAGCATCAAAAATTCAACCTATAATAAATAAATACATAAATAAATATATGTACACAACATTGAAAAATTAATCAATCACCAAGTTATTTTTTTATTACATGAATATATTGAAAAAAAATTTTGCCAGATAATAATTTTTCTTTAAAA